AACGTCGGTCGTTTCGCGCTTTTAGGTCGCGCTCGCCTTATGATTAAAAAAAATTGAGGCAAAACAATTTTTATCAAATAGAGCATTCTATAACCTTTGGATTGATATATAATTTGTAGTGGTTGTCTTTAAGACAGCGCGGCAATATTTTTTTCGCTAAGGACACCCGCGAAGGTTTACGGTAACCTTAACTTCATAACTGACAAAAGAATGGAATCAAACACCGTTTATTACAATTATGGCTGCGAAAAGGAGAACTCTGATTGGTTTTCTTAGCAGTCCAAATTTTGCAATATGGGCAAATTTACTCCTGTGTTTGCCTTTTCAACAAATGGCTTGAAGAAAACAGTTAATATATGCTTTGTATCTCTTTACCTTGGAGGACAAAAACGATGTAAGAAACAAAAATAAAATGCCTACCTTTTGCATGTGATTCACTGAGAATGGATCATGCATAGACATCAGTTTATCAGCAGATTAAAAAGAGCTGTAATAATAAGTACTTTATTGAACTAGCTTGTTTCGTATCTGTGTTAGAGAATATTGGTCTCGTTCTGTTTTCATTCTCCCAAGTTTATGGACCTCACCTGCTGGTCAGTCTATAAACTTACGAAAAAAACACTTGAACAACATTTCTCCACTACCAACCAAAGAAGCTAGTTCAGTTGAAGTTCAATTGCATATATGTATGGGTTTTAAGGTGATTGGTAACAGTTTCCAGGACTTTCCATAAATAATTCAAAGACTACAAATTGCACACGCCCAACACGGGCTCGTACGATTTTTCGTAGTCTTTGAAAAATTTACTTGTGCGTATTTAGTCCAAATTGCACTACAGATCATTTGATAATTTACCTATACAAACTAACACCTTGACTAATTTAAGGTTGCGTCATTCATTCATTGGTTTCTTGTGGATTTCAAAAAGATTTTGCCGTGTCAGAGGGGTGGGATCGAAACTGCAGATTTTACCGCGCGAGGAAGTTGACTCCCAGTTTGAAGTTTGAGCTGGGCCAAACACGTTTTACACAATTCAAAATGGCGGCAATCTCCCGTGAAATTTCAAGTTAATAGACAGAAACATGATCAAACATGTTACGTTATGGCTTCAGATCAGAAGGCATTAACTCGGGGCACTGTGTTGCTATGCAAGGGGTACGATACCTTTCAACTGGACCAAAGCTTACCTGAATTAAGCTTACAATGCAAATATTACAGACATGAGTAAGCATGAGTAAGCATGAGTAAGCGATCATAAATCGTTGCTGTGAGCGTCTTTTATATTTTAAGCACTTAATTATCTTCGAATAGCACCCTATCGGTTAATGCTGATTAGTGGACGTACCAGTAATCAGATAGAACGTGTTTGTACTTACTCATATTAAGCCTTCGTTCTTGCTCCACTTCATATCATGCACTGCCAAATTGGTCACAGTTTTGTGTCATCTTCCCGCGTTTTTCCGCCACCCTGTGATTGGTTGAGAGAGACTCCTGCACGTCTGGTTGATCAATGCCTGGAAGTTAAGTAAGTACTCATAGTAAAGGTGATATCTCGTCAGTAATAAACTACAAGCTTGATCATGAATAGATAGCGAGAGATGAGTAGATGGATGAAGAAACGTGGGACGCGCGAAAATGAAAGTCTTAGCCCGCAGGGATTATGCGGCAATACTATCGTGCCAATATCGATCGTGCCAGTCTCTGGATAAAACTTCTTTTATTTGAAAATCTTTCAACATAACTCGAAAGCTGCCCTTTGCCCACTTTAGCGAACACGAAAAAAGCCATTTGACATAATCTATTGTCTATACAAAATGAAGCAATCTCTGGTTGCTATGCGTAGCAAAGAATTGTGATTGGTCCAGGAAAATCACGCCACTGTCAAACTTGACTCGAGCGTCGCTTCTCATGGAATGAAAACTTACAGTGAAAGCAGAATTGAGCTGTGAAATCTACAAATCTTAAAGAAAATGCTGAAAAGTCAAGTCAGTTTTTGTCATCAGAGCAGCCCTGTGAGCCGAAAAGTTTGGACGTTGCCTTGAATACTGCAGGAGAAGAAAAATACGCTCGGAAAACCTGCGGTTGCGGTCAACCTGGAGGCCATGCGATTCGAGTTTTGAATGAAAGGAGCATAATTTTGCAGTTTCTTTCCAAAATTGCCTCGCATCCAGGTTGAATTTTGATGTAATGCAAATGAAAAAAGGGAATGAAGCCTTTTCCAACTTGAAAAAGCTTGACGCCTCGGTACTAATGCCGCAGATGCGTATGAGTGTCAAGTCGAATTACGCCTGCACTTTGGCTGAGGCACGAAGCACATCCAACTGGTTTATTCCTTTGCTTTTATGCTCTCGTGAGCGATCACTCAACATTTCAATGTCAGATAATGTTCGTTGATAGACCTCTAGTTAAAGATTATTTACGACTGCGGTGTTACGCTGAAACTGAGGGACAACGGTTAATGCCTAACGTTTTTGACAAGCGACCTGAGTGGCTTTCGAGAGTGACCACTAGCACTATTTTGAATTCCGAGGTGGTCGCCTATGAGAGCTTCAATTCGATGGTGTGTTCTGACAGCCGAAGTAAATTTAACATGTCCATTTCCCCAACCCTTCGGAAATAAGCCCTTGAATCACAGTACAGCAAGGATTCTCTCTGACTAGAGAGAGTGGAGAAAAGATATCAGAGGCGGATTTAAGACGGTAGATTGAGTGGCTTGCCACCCCCCTTTTGGAGAAGCAAAAAACAATTGGAAAAGGTTGTGAATATTACGGCAGAGATTAAGGCAAACTCGCCAGATAGGTACCTCATTGTAATTACATTGCCAGTATTTGATGTAACAGCTTTCAATTAGCGAGGTTCCAAATCCCCAGATTCCGTAACCTCAAGATACCAGTGCCCTTCCATTCACCCCTGTCCCTTGAAAAACCCTGGATCGTCCCTTCCATATATATAACCTGCAATCAGGCTTTTTTTATTTTGGCTAACGGGGAAGGGGAAAAATTGGCTCTGAGGCTAGCGGAAATAAAGGGAATTTATCAAGGTTGAAGGAAAAATAAAATTTCTTTTTTTGTCAGTTTTTATTCCCCAGAGCTTTGAACCCAAGTTAGTATTTTGGGTCCACATTTGAAAGCAATCAAGGACTGCACTTGTCCTACGATACCCCTCCTCCTCCAATACGTTTGGTTTTTTACGTCCCACGCCCCGGCATGCCAGATGTATACTTAAAGAGGTATTTGTTCATAAGAACTTCGTTTCCACAGCAAATTGATCTTGGTTTGAAAACATTATTGGTGATGTCACTACCTTAGTGCAAGTACGAGGTAAGCACGCGGTCGAATGAGTTTTTCGAAATACATGTCAGGCTAACTGAACAACGATTTGGCAGTATTTTAAGTAACTTGTCAAAGTTTCGTTTTTATTACATCTAGGCTTTTATCTTGTTTCGTGCTAAGATAACTTAACCCTCTTTTGACATCACTCGCAGAGCGGACAAAAAGCGAAATAATGATTTGGTATTGTTGCCCTCAGGACAATTACTACGACAAATAAGAACGCAGCATCTTTTTAAACTCAACTAAGCCTACCTTGACCAATATACAAAAACAGCCAATTAGCTTCTATCTCACTTAAGTAACATTCTACTCGTTAGTTTAGCAACATTCTAAAATGCTGCAATCTGATTGGCTGGGCCATCGTACACTATCAGCCATTAGTCTGCAGTACCTTTATGTGGCGAACAAAATGGTAGTGTTTTCTCGTTTCTCCGAAGTTGGAAGGAACATTTGGAAACAGACTGATAATGAAATTCATGAGAAGACTTATACAAGAATATTCACGGTTTCTTGAATGCAAAACCTTTAAAAACTAAGTCCGCGCGATTTTTCTTAAGCGCGAAGTTTAATACTAAGACTAGAAATAACTGGAAACCATTATTTGAATGCTCAAATTTTCAGTTAGAATTCTACTAAAATAATTAGAATTTCTATGAGGCGATAGACATACTTGCACTGTTTGTCTTGGATGCATTTGGTCAGCACGTAAGCTTTCTACCTTTTAATTACAGTAAATCACTATCATTCTTAGTTACTTTTACAGTCTGTCCGCAGAAAAAAAAAAATCTTCATTTGTAGCATTAGGCAGTGGACTGAACAATCAATCTATGTTAAATCTGGCTCTTCATTCATTCCTTTTTTGATTCGTAAAAGAATGGTGGTTAGCCACTGATCCAATCTCGATATACTGTCATACTCTTTGACCTACAAAACAAAAGAAATAAAGCAATGGGAGATCATTAGTGAGTAGCCTGAGTGGCAAGCGTTCCCTTACGAATAGCTTGTTCCACCTTCTGGTGCGCGCAAATTAGAGCGACAGCAAAAAATCGACAAACCAATAACCACTCCTTTATCGATTTCATTTTTGCTCTCGCTCTAACTGGCGCGCAGCAAGAATGCGGAAAAGGCTCTTCGTACGTGACACTTGCTATGCAGGCTAATTAATGAGTAGTAATAACAATAGTGTATTATCATCAGTGCTGTCTACAGATGTTATGTTAGTTCTGCCGCTACAAGTTATCCCAGCAACTGTAGCTACAATGAAGATCTCAACATCAATTGAAGTACAGCTTTAGTTAAAAGAAACATAAGTTTGTATCAGTAATGCATGATTTTTAAACGATAATTATATGTCGGATTTTATATGTGAACAACTTACAGCTTCTGTGAAAGCTTCTGCATTTTGTTCTTCTTGAGCAGCGAGGAGATTCTACAACAAGAAGGCTAAAAGTTACTAAGGTCACCAAGGGCCTCTTCATCTTAGCCCGGTTACAGAGATCTTGCCTCACTCCAGTTTCCTTTGTTAAAATTTCGATGTGTTCATATAAGAAGGCAGGCCAGTCCAGTCAACCAAGATCTCGGCGACTGGGATGAAAATTTTCCCATATGAACAATCAAGGCCAGGCAACTGGGACGACACTTTCTTGACAAAATGGCTTTGCTTTTGCAACATAGCGGCCAAAATGGCATAATTTTAATTTTGTATGTACTTCCATTTCAGAGGTATGTGAATTAGCTTTATTAGTAAAGTTAGAAAAGTCAAAAAGGCTACGATAGTCGCGAACATTGCAACATTTTGGTTTTGTTATCTGAATTTCATCCTGGTCGAGCGGGGTGAAATTTCCCATATGAACAGACAACAAAATTTGCCCCAGTAACTGAGCCAGCCCGGTTGCCGGGGCTCATACGAAGAGGCACTTACAATCATTTCCAATCCAAAAGATCCAAAGAACCAGGGGACTCACCAGTGAGCCCTCAACAGGTTGGCATGCTGGGCTATCCCAGGCAACTCTCCCTAACCTCCCCCAGCATTTTTGTTTTGTTAGCCTGTGAACAGGTTCTCTAGTAGAGGATGGGGTGAAGAGAAAGCGGGAAGAAAGAAGATAGAAGAGACATCCCCCCTTAGACACTTCACAGGCTGGGTTTTAGTAGTGCGGATATTTAAATTGTTTAACCTATTCCTTTTTATAATAATATATATATATATATATA